GGTTTGGTGCCTCATGCATCTGGATACTTGCACTGTCTCGAATGCAAATGGCCTATCCTATATCGAATATTGCAATCAGCTGCGCGAACGTTTGTTCACCAATCGCAGCGATCCGCCGCGCCCGGGCGGACGCTGCTACACGCTATCTGACGCACGTTCCGGGTGTCATATTCGCCGCATGACCGGCCATACGAGCCGCGCTGCATCTGCCGCGGGCCGGCGGATTGTTTGTCCATCCCGCGGCTCCTCCGTCCCGCTGGATATACACACAGAGAAGTGCTAACGGCGGAGGACCGCTGTCCCATTAGCGGCGCCTCCTTGTGGCACGCGGAGAGTCGGCGGATGGTTATCTCAAGAGGCATGTTTGCATACTGTTTACATACTGAGATGATTTTCATGCTTGTTTTGTTTGGTTCTCCTTTTATAAAGGCACATGTCTTGCCTTAGCGCTGCAGTCAGCGAGCTCTAAAACCCTGATATAATTCCAATGCACTTATTGTACAGGGAGCGCAAGGCAGCAATCGGTGGCTTATGCGCCCACTCCTGCATCAGGGCGTATGCCTTTGGGTCGATAAATGGTGGCGAGCGTGAGCTATTGTTCACCACTCATTACCACTGCATTGTCCAGCGATTGCCAGTGGCAGCTTACCGAGTGCGATCCAGTGCGCAACATCATTATCATGAATAAGAAAATCAACCTTACTCAAATTACCGATATTGTATCGAAGCTAATGTAATTCTTTCTGGTGTAGATTCGCTTGAATCACCATTTTACATTAAAGAAGTCACCTTTGTAGAGTAGGACTTTTTGTAGCAGGGAGTTTGTGCTTTATTTTGTAAGCAGGTTACACTGCACTTTAACATCATAACACACTAAAGCAAGATTCGTATGCTGCTCTTGGTAACCGCAAATGGTTCCCTAAGGGAAAATGAAGTCTCAAAATTACCCAAAACATTAGCATAATCACTAGATGCTGGAAAATTCCAACTCAATCTGTAGTCTTATCGGGAGCGACCTAAGATAATATTCAACACGGACTTTTATGTTGCGTTTGGACGACGCATTTTTTATAATTCCCAGTATTTTCATAATCAGCCTAGCAACGGATCGGTGCGGCCCCTACATCGAATCACACAGGATCCAAACTCGATCGATAAATTTATGAAGTCGACTCAGCTTCCGTATACGGCATTTACATTCACGATACAATATAAGTAAAACTGAAAAAAAAAATGAATTCACAGACAATGCAACACCAATCAGACACGTGTGTTCTGTTATTCACTAAAGCTCAGGTTAGGAATATCGATAGCTGCAAGACTGGGCCGTCTCCCTGCTAGTGCAGCTTTAGACGTAGCGTCCCTCTCTGTTGACAGATGGCCTATGCCCGTGTCCGCTGGACCGCTGAGTGCTGAGGCGAGCTGTTTTCACACGGAAACACCAACAGTCAGATTCTCAGGGGAATTTTCGGCCGAGCTCGGGAGAAGGCTCCGAATCTGCGGAACTTATGAGTTAAAAACACATCTGTGTGCCGTGCTTTCAAGCGATATTACAATTTATCAGTGCGATTTCTCCGCAAGTCATCCAAAGAAAACTCCACGTCCAATGGTCAGTGGCTGGACGTTTAAGTGTCCACTCGATATTGTTTTGAAGAGCATTTCAGTTCGGAAGGGGAAAAAATGGGATCATTTTATCTTCAAGCGGTTTGCCGCAGCCCTGGTTATCACGTTTCAGCGTCATGGGACCATGTGGTATTCATGTATCACCACGATTTATAGGTGTGATGTGCTATGATCCACATGCAACACCTGACTGCCACCTTTATATTATAAGGTTAAACAGCCAACGGGTGCTTTAGATGGGCGTTTACGTGCGAAAAGCACCGGTTAAGTGGACATCTGCATGACGGCAGCGAATCCGTTTCTGTCAACTCTGGACGCTTGTTCAGCCGGTCTGTTCAAACATTCATCTCAGTGACTATTGAATCAGCTTCAGTGTCCAATGGCGAGATGAATTCCACCGGCTGTTGACTCGGGGGAATCAGAGCGGCCCTTGAAGCGATTCCGCCAACCGAGGCAGACACGCCGCGCGGTGCCGGTGGAGCGACCACTTAGCGCACAGTTACACTGGGGGGACGGTCTCCGGCGACTGACGGCATTCGCTCGGCCCGCCGGGGCTGTCTGACCTGATGCGACTGGATGCGTGGCTTGATGTCTTTAGAGGAAAAGGGAAGTGAGGAGATACAAGCGATAGCAGACAGCTAATGTAATAAACGATTCGTTTCAATCAATTAATTAGACCCCGTCAAATTATCACGGGATTTTTTTTAATGTATCTAATGATACAATAAATACCAGCAACCAGCCTACTCCGCAAAATAAATGTTATAACTCTAACAAACATGAAAAAGCGTCAAAAGACAGAGGCTATAAGGATCCCTTTACAAAACATTGGCTTTGATAATTGTTTGGTGGTGCTTATTTGGTAAGTAGGTATTGTTCCTCTATATTCCTACGGATATATCAGACATGACTATTCAAATGTGCTCAGGAGACGAAGTCACACGGAACCAGAAGCAAACTGAAGGAGTCATTTTCGGGCCCTGATTCCACAGAATCCGGTAGCCCATCCAGTCCGTGCTGCGCATTCCGGCTGCAGCGCATCAGTCTGGTCACCTCAGGACAGCTCGGTCCGATCCATCAGGCACGACACGGTCGGCGCCCCGTTAGCTGGTTAGCGTCCCACCCTCGGGACATCCGCAAAGGTTGCCATCGAAGCGCAGAGCGCTGCCCCGATATGTAGGTTAGGACCAGCGGCAATGTCCTGAAACGATGCTGCATTGCAGATCCAGGAGGTTAAGCAGGCAAAAGACCTAACTAGAGCTCAACTTCGAACTTAGTGCGCCGAAGATCGTTCAAGTAAGCATGCATTATGCTACTGAGTATGCATGCAACTGATCATTTAGGCATTTACCATGGTTAATTACCAACGATGCACGGTCGTAAATACAAATATGTATCCAATGGCCAATCTCGTCGTTTGCATTCGGGCCCTCCGGTTGGGTCAGCTTGTGGTCGGCCTGCGACGCGGTCTGCCTCGGGCTCGGCTTGTTCCATGGGTTGACCCAGCTCGGGACAGCAGCGGTATGAATAGAGTTTGTAGGGCTTCAGCGACCAACATATGGCCGTTGCTTCCGGAACGGATCGAGGTTAGTGGGGATGGACGGGGAATCATCGATAGACACCGACAACCGATCGTATCAAATACATGTCTTGTCCTTGGCAATGCATGTCACTGCATATTTTCTTCAACGGCAACTCATAACTATGATAGGCACAACTATACATGTTTCGTCTTCAGAGTTTACCTGACACAGTCACACGGGACCACCCAGTGGAGGATGAACGGCGCACCAAAAACGCCTCTCCTGTAACAAAATACCTACACAAATGCATCCGCACTCAGTGCCTGGAATGGCTCGCGGCGGCGGAGTGGCGGTCACTGTCACATGATACCCCTGAGAGGCAGGCGATTCGCCAACAGCTCCTGATACTATCCCTTGACAATACCGTGGGTAAATATACAGAGAACGCCGAGCGGTGCAGACGCGAGCGGCGGGGGCCGGAGCGACTCAGCCCGTCGCGGGGGTGGGGAGGGCGAGGGGTGTCAGTAGTCAGAGCTCGTGCCGTCATCTGTCGCCAGAGGCGATAGCTCCGTCAGAGGCCGACAGGCCGACTCTCAACCGGTCAACAGCGAGCGCCGCCGGGCGTGGGACAGCGGTCAACAACGACTTCTTGCGAACGTGAGCTCGGTGAGCAGCGTACGTGAGCGCGGTGAGCAGCCGAGCCGGACCGGGGTAAACAGGTGACGGTCCGCCCGGGAGAGGACCGGAGAGCGACGAGCAGATCGCTGACGCAATGACTGAGAACCTGGTGGAATTCTGGGGAGATTGGGGAGTGGATGTCGGACTGAGAAATGCCAGGATCCGTCAGCTGCACTCGATGTAAGCTCGGGTGGTTCATCAGTTAGATCATGTGCTCCTATAGTGTAGTATCTCGCGTGTTTCCACGCATCACATGAAGGGCGAGTGCTGCTTACCGTCACTGGACGATTGACTTTGAAGTCTGACATTGCCCATAGGCGGATCAAGAAAGACGGTCTGGACGCTGCGAGGGGGCATACCTCGAAAAAAAAATTCCCTAAATTTCAAAAAAAAACCGTCTCGGATCTCGATTCCTAATGCACTGCTGTTCAGTTTAAGTCTAATTTTTCCTGATTTAAGTTGTTCACAGTTTTCTTTCTAGTTTAATTTCATGAAAAACGACGGATTTTCATCGATTTTAGGCACTGCGAAGAGGACATTTGGCCCAAATGCCCCCTTTGGATCCGCCAGTGACATCGCCAATGTTATTATTAAGTGCTTTAGATCGTAATGAATGTTTATATTGCTTATTGCAAATACGTCCGTGCCCACTCTGGAGTAAAATCATGAGCTTGTGTTTTATCATGCATTGCTGTTGGTCCGGTGCATCGGTAAATACCTCAGATTGGCAGGGCAATCAAGGAACTGATCCGCTGAAGCTGTAAATAATACGCTGTATTTTATATCACCATATTAATACCTACAATGGCGTGTGATTCGTGTCCGTGGGCGTTCGATTGGAACTCGGACGCCCCAAACGATAATGTGAGACTGACCCAAAGATACGTCTCCAATAAGAGAGTGCGGCAGCTGCCATTAACGATTACGCCCCGATTGAGACCGCGTGGAATTTCCTCTCGTTCCCATAGTATTTCTGTCGAAATGGTTTCGTGAGGGCACGAAAACGCTCGCCAGAACAATATCCGGTCGGCATGCTGAAGCAGAAACCGAGCCGCGAGGTATAGAACATTGCGTCTTGCACAACTGTAACACACACATACCTAGACACCCTTATTTGACTTCGTCGCCTGTGCTCCTGCGCCTCGTATGCTGAGATACCCTGCCGTTTCGTTTCAGGATGTTGGTCGAGGGCTGTCTACCTGTGATCCTGATGATAGCCGTGCTGTCCGGGCGGCAACACCTGGTCAGGGCCGACCAGGAGCACTTCATCAGTAGCGCGGTAGGTGACCGGGGAGCGGGTCTACTATCCGTGATCGACTCTGATCGACTGTAACTGCGGTCCACTGGCAGACGCCAATGTATCGCGCCTACTCTGTCCCACCCGCGGCATCGAGCGGCGGCACGCGATACGGCGGACTTATGATCGTCCCCAAGGGATCGATATAAACGTGGTCATCCAGACTAATAAAGTGCAATGCCAGCGTGTAACAAAATGACCCTCGGAACTCGAGAGAGAAGTCCCAATCTTTCATTCAGCAGCTGTGACCGATATTGGCAGGCCTAACGCAGACGTTATGGCAAGTCTGAATTGAAAATGAATACCTCGGTTCTAGGCTTGTTAGAAATCATCGCTTGAAACTTGCACAACGTTTAAAGACGTGCAATGTCTTTCGATTCCTTTAACTTTAACATACCTGTACCTTAACAACTAAAGTAATTAAGTCCCCCCCCAAGGAAATTAGGTTAAAAAATCAATGATAATTTACGGTTTCTTTTCATGCTGAGCTTATAGATCGCTTGGGCACATGACACTATTGATAATGGATCTGGCACACACGTTCAAGCTTACACCTTCATCGAACGCGGGGCAGCCCTCGTACACATAACACATAATCCCTCGTTCGCAGGGCCAGGTAGCACATGGGTATTGACACGGGTTACATTATCACAAAACCACGTCCAAGCATTTGATGTCGTTATCAGCAAACGGCTTTTGCCTTCTCTATTTGCCTGGCCACAGTCCACACCATCCGGTATCGTACTGTTCAATAAACTCGCTCATTATCGCAAACCGGGTGACAAACGAAGTCATCTTTGCGCTGGATCGAGGACGATTAACATGGTTATATTAGTCAGGCTAGGCAAAGACGGATGTGCTAAAAAGATGAACTTTACTAATAGTGCTGAACACTAAATAGAAGGTACCTAAATACCTACAAAGGTGCAATTTTTCGACTGCCTAGCACGTTCCACCATCTATTTGATATCTAAGATATTTATCTATTCATCTTGAAATACAGCTGGAGTAAGCATATCTTAACAATATTTTTATAACAACTACTGGTTTTACTAGAGGCTCAGAGCAGTGCCCTACGGCTGCTCACGCTGTCCAACTGACCCCGTTCTCCTGCGGCAGCGCGTCGGACCCCTGTTCGAGGACTTTGAGCCAGACCTGTACGACTACGAGGACAAGCGGGCGCTCGACTACGGCCACCTGCGCTTCGGCAAGCGGACGGCGAGCCTCGCGTCCGCCGGAGAGTCCGGCGGACAGCTCGCCGACGCCAAACGCAACCCCGACTACGGCATGATGAAGTTTGGCCGGCGCTCCCCGGATTACGGCTTCATGAAGTTCGGTCGACGCTCGCCAGACTACGGCTTCATGAAGTTCGGAAAGAGGCGAGCGGCAAAATCGGCCGGTAGGAGCTGAGCGGATCCGCCGGGCCGGGCTGGGCGAACGAGGGGCGAACGATGGGAAAAGGAGGGACAATACAGGGACATTGGATGCAAGAAAGAAACAAACGAAACCACCATCGACCACAACCGAGATTGACGGATTCAACGAACCACCGACAGGACATCAGGAGGTCGGCTGAAGGACGATACGCCACCTCAGGGAGATGGGCGAGTCGAGCTCCGTTCGCCGCGCGGTCATCCGCAGAGGTCCGGACTGATAGCGCGAGGTCGTGACTGCGGTCTCGGGTCGGGTCTGGTGATGGAGGTGCCGCTCCGGAATGATTGCTGAGCAGAGGCGGCCCAAAATGAGCCAAGTCGAGCGGCGAGCGGTCTGGTGAGCTGTGCCGAATGTCCGCGAATCGTTGTCCATGATAGCGCGCTGTGCCCGGACTGATCCGCGTGACGTCTTCTAGTCTGTTCCCGCAGCATACCAAATACGTTTGCAGCATATAAAAGTGACCATCAACTGGCAGACCTTTCGACGATGAGCTCATGTACCAAAGCACGACGATGTGATCCGTCGGACACAGGTTATCCAACGCCCCTGCTTAAAACACTGAGAACTGGCACGAAATAGGCGTGCTCGCATCAGCTCAACGTCTTTCAGTGAAGCTCTTTTTACGATAATGCTGGAGCAGGCAGACTCGTGAGACAATTAATACATCAAGCGAACGAAAACAAGCTACTAGGGTTTGACTTGTAGCTAAATACCTTGCAGATATGTAGTTCAATACCTGTAAACGAGACTTTGATACCAATGATCCCGCACTCAAAATTCATGAACTACGCTAGCTAGTGAAACCTTAGGCCAATTGGTAAACAGCTGCACGATGTCCCATAAAGGCGGCACGCTAGTAGACAGCTGTGTCGCCGCTGAAAATTGCCAAGGCGTGTGCAAACTTGGGTTTAAAAGAGCAACGTTTGCCAATATCGATCAGATCATTTATGTGTCGTGTTGACAGTCGAATGTGTACATTCCTGTCTTTTGACAAAACGGTCACCTTTCGCTTGTCTGCGAACAGGATCTAGACTCCGGCGATGCTTGGGCTTGAAGGGACAACGTTTTAAATGGGTAGGTTTCGAGCGATCGGCATCATCTTTGCAATGTTTTGAGTATGAGCGACATTGTCTTAAGTTTGAGAGACGGCGCAAGCGTATCGGTAACGGAGTTGCGATGGATCAGAGGCTGGCCATGGCCACTCCGTTACAATGATCTGCCTCGACGGGCCACCACTACCACCATCCCAATCTCGGCGCTACCGGATGTTACTCTACTTCATCAGTCGCTCAGCTGCGAAAACGCGGCACAGCCGCAGCTCTGACATCCGAAACCAGTCGGAAATGCACTGTTCAATCAGCGCCTTCGATCTCGAGAGCTATCACGTTACAGAACTTACAGAAGCCATCTACGCATGAGCTTTACAACCACGGCGACCTGTGTCGCTCCCACGTAAAGTCGCCTTCTCCTTATGCCACCAATGTATATCTCACTTCTATTTGACCGCGCATCAGGCGCCGGCCCTGCTCGGTGGGCTGGCGCCGGGATCGTCGTACTGAGGTCCAGTGACGTCATACTGAGGTCCTGTGACGTCACTGGAGCGCTGCCGGCCGCGCGCGGCGTGCGGGGAGTGTGTGGCTGGGCTCTCCGCCGCCCGAGCTGCCGGCCCCGTTTGTTTACAGTGCTGTATGGTTGAAAGCCGAATATATAACAGTTATGCAGTTGTGCAGGGTGTTTGGTGGGATAGGCGAAGAAGACGAGTAACAGTGGAGATGGGCAAATCGGCCGTCGAACTGCCTTTGCCCGAACTGCCCAGTGCCCGTCGAACTTTGTATGGGTTAGCCGGAAAAACTTTGTAATAGAGTATAATAGACACGCATTCCTCTAAGCGAGAGCAGAAGGACAGACTAATCTTCATAGTAACTCTTCACGATAACGATCAATTGTACACCATATAGGTCCTCGATACACACCACATTGGTTTATCCCGACGGCAAAATTCCTAGCAGACGGACTTAATCATCACATCGCTATCATCCGTGACATTACGGCAATCAAAGTCGATAACGGTCTGCATTCATCACCGCCTTAACAACTCCAGTCCCGTGAAACGGCAGCCCAACAGAAGGTGGAAGCGCAGTAGGACCGGCGTGGTACTCATCGGAATTACCTGCTCCAGAAGGAACGCAACAAAAAATTGGAAAGAATAATCCTAACACTGACCAGACCAGACAGCTAATCGACATTGTTCTTGTCGGCAGAATGGGTAAAAGAGCAGGGACGTCTGGATGGTGGGGTTAGTTGGTATGCATGAGGGCTACCGTGCATTACATCTTTACGTAATGTACTCGTCAGTAGGCCTTCCCATTCACTGGCCCATCGCTGCGGCCTCAAAAAGAGGAATATAGAGCATGCGGTTCCCGGATCATTTGCAAAGAGCTTCTGTTATTTCCCGAATGTGAGTTCAAATCGTGCTATTTCAAATAACCTCGACCTCGTCTCAGAGGCTGACGAACACCATTGAAGCCATTCAGGCCCCATAGGGAGACGATCTTTTCGTAAGAACAACGATCATCGACAGGCGCTCTGCGGCTGACATGCAAGGCGCGCAAACCACACAATGAATAGATATGCGGAGGAGCTCGTGCGACGCGACGCATAACGTCGGGATGATCCTACTTCAACCCAGGCGGTGTCGGACGCCAGAAAGGCCGCTTACGACTGTCGGCGGCCCACGCGGACAGGCAGACTCATGACTCGACGTTCACGAGTCCCCCGAGTGAGTGCCGTATGCGGCGGGCGGGGTGCCGCCGTCATGTCGACACACCCTGTCGACGAATGGGGCGACTAAACGCTCCGTCGCGCCCGCGGACCGACGGCACACGGATACTGAAGACATTTCTGAAAACGGCCGGGCGCGTATGATAACGCTACAGTCGAACTGAGCCCACCCGCTCCGAGAAATGCTGATCCGGCAGAGTAGTGTCGGACTGTCGGTGTGACATTTCACACATCTATCAAGTCGAGGCATTTTACTTACAATTAAAATGCCTTGAAACCCACAAGTATGTTTTGAGCTGTGGAGAAAAAGGATACGAGAAGATAAAACCCTGAGAATGCATAGATGCGAAACTTTTAGTCCCATTTTGCAGCCAATGATAGATGGACTATATTAGCAGCGCACATAAATGCACAAGCAATGCACTTACGCCTGTTGAAAGAGAACCGAGGTTATTACTTATCTAGCAAGTGGCGTTCGTAAAATATCAGTACAATTGTCAATTTATCTGACCTCCCAGCCGTCCATGCATTCAACAATTCATTCATTTATTAATTCATTCATTCATCCATTCTTTCATATTGGTTTCATTCATCCATTCTTCAGTTTGATATTGTTGAATTTTCTTCGAGTAACGTCACTCTCAATCATTTCAAATCAGTTCCTTTTCTCGATATGTTTTTCCTTATTCGTTCTCTCGCCACAATAAGAAATGCAGTATAAAAACTGCACAATTGTGTCCATAATGTGTTATATGTACAAGGGAACAAATCGAATCATATTAAAGACTACTTACAATAAGCGTTGTCACCACCTCTTTCCCTTGTCTTAGGCATTTCTTTTCAGTCAATTGCCACATACAATATCCATAGGTATGAACAAGGCCATATAACCCATGAACAAGGGTATGAACATACAGATTTATATTCAAAGGCATTGTATAGGCAGAGCTAATCCAGCCTGGCACTTTCCTGCGACCGACGAATGCACTGATGATAACCAGCAAAATGATTAGCCGCAGCACTGCTGCTACTGGGAAGCTGATCGTTTCGAGATGAAACACTTGCCACATCGCCCAGGCCAGACCTGTGCTCGCTTCCTGCCTACACAGGAAGCCGTAGTGCCGGGAAACTGACGACATGTGAAGCGCTCGGATCTGGGATCGCTATCCGAGCAGATCAAAGGTGGTGCGAGGATCTTACAGTTCTGGCTGTCAACTCAATCTGCCGCGCGGCACTGCAGTGGATAGGAATTACAGGTAGCGTGCGGACGGGAGCGCGGGTGGCAATGTATGAACAACATGAACAATTATACCTATTTATTGCCTAGTCTACACCAATGTCTGAAACTCTCAAGAGGTCTTTGGATGAGGGTGCCCAAATATTACAAAAGCGATATGCTTTATGCAGATGACGCTTCGGTAAATTGATGACTTCAATTCTAACTTTCAGTACCAGTATAACGCCTTTTGGGGCGACTTAACGCCTTTTGGCATAAGGGGTCACCCACATGCATCGGGAATAGTCCAATACTTGGTAGAAGGAATGAAGCTACCCTACAAAAATTACCGCATGTAAATCGGTCAAGTGGTTGTCGAGATATAAGCCTCGCAAAAGCGTCCGCACGGCCGGCCGGCCGGCCGCTCATACTCAGAAATTTCCGAATAAGGAAAGACTACCCTACGCTCGCTTCGCTCGCTCCGTAATAAGTCTGAACCAGGCCATGTGTCATACCATACTCAAGCACTATATAGCTGTCATGTTCACCTAAAATTGCAAAAAGCTTTCACGGACATCCATAATTCATCTCAAAAGGTTATATACCTACTGGATCACGGGTCGGTCGGCATTTGACAGACGACCCAGTCCATTGAACACTCACATCCTTTTAGCAAATAACCGAGGGATTCATTCATGTCTCGTGCTCTCCGAAAACTGCATGATGAATGTTTCAAAACCTACTTACTACAGTCTACACTCTACAGACAAGCGAGGCATCGTAACTACTAAATGTAACGAAACGAGACCACTTCGTGAAACTTGGCCATTGGCCACAGGGACAGTCCTCCATGTTACTTATGATAAGTGGGCCTGCAACCTGCATCCCACGTTTAAAACGAAGCTGCTATATAGTGTTGGTTAGATTGCGGTATCAGGGCATGACACCTCCCCCCGAACGATTGGGTCGCATGCGGTCAGCCGGTCATCAATTGCAGTGTTCATACTCATGTCTGTTTCCACGGACACACTGAACATTGTGTGGCTCAAAGCTTAACTGCTGTCTTTTTTTGGAAGATATTACCTTCGGCGAAGGCATATTATGTCGAAGGTAAGGCTAAACTTCTGTTTTTGGACCAGCGTTTTGAGCGTGAGAAGCAATCAGAAGAAGACAGCATCTGCTCCAAAAACCTGCTTATAGGTAAGGTTGGCTGGTGTGTTATGTATAAGCTATCATATTTGCAATGTCATTCTTGAAACACATTAGGGCAAGAAATAAGAATTAAAGTTTAGCCCCGTAGGTCATCACGACGTGAACGAGTCACCGAATATCCATCGACTCCGCAACCCAGGAGGTACAATAAATCTACCGTTTCCACAGGGGCGGATCCAGGAATTTTCGGGAGGGGGGGCGGCAAGTTGAAATAGGGGCGACCTGGCAATCCGGGGGCGCCAAACCGTCGTCAAAATCGAGAGTTTAAAACCCACGCCGTGCGTTGTCACGTTCCCCTAAGTTTTTCGCAAATATCTTTAAGACGGCTGCGCGCAGCGCCGCCGTTTTAAAAGATATTTGCGCCCAACCTCTGCTTGGATCGCCCAATCCGTCATGGGGAGGCTCACTTTGCTGAAGTCGCCTCATTTCTTCTAAGAACGACCAATTTGCTGTAGGCGGCCCACTTATCTGGGA